ACAGCAATGACATAAATGAGTGTTTATAAATACATACCTTCAGTGACCCTACAACCTACTGATTTCCATTTTAAGCTATATACCCTAATAGAGAAATTCTTATACCTCTAAAGTAACATTGTTCATAATAAAAAAAAATTGCCAACAAAAGCAAAAATCCACCAGTAGAATTAACAAATAAACTGTGGCATAGTCACAGAATAGTATACTAACTAGCAATGGAGAAGACTAAACCAGAGCTACATATACCTTTATGAATGAATCTCACAAACACAGTGGTGAGCTTTTACTCCACAATGAATGCACACAATATGACTGCCTTATATAAAGTTCAAAATCAGACAACACTAAACAATAGTTTATGAGGCAATTAATTTACACAGTAAAACTGTGAAACTAAATAAAAATGTAAGAATACTCATCATTAAAATCAAGTACAGATTATCTAGTTTAACAAAGAGGATGTGGAAAAAGGGGATGTGACTGGGATGTGGCAAAAGTTAATTATTCTAGGTCTAATTCTTAATATGAGTTGTAGTTACATGAATCTTTACTATTGTAGTTAAAACAATATATTTGTTTATACTTTTTCATTATATTTCAAAATAACCAAAATGATACTTCAGAAATCCCTACTCTTGAATCACTATTTGTTGTATAGCCGTCCTCTATGTATTCAGTATTTTGCTAACATAAGACACATAGAGAGCACTAACTCTCTATGAGTTGGTAAGAATACCAAAAGAAATGAGAATTATGTGACGTCCATAGCAAACACATCCATTTCCAGTGTGAACAGAAATCACATTGACTTCTCTTCTCAACCATTCAGCTAACTTTCCTTTAGAGGCTACAGGAGATTATTCAAGAGTTTACTGATATGGTTTGGCTATGTCCCCACCCAAATATCATTTTGAATTGTAGCTCCCGTATTTCCCTCATGTTGTGGGAGGGACCCAATGGGAGATAACTGAATCATGGGGGCAGTTTGCCCCATGTTGTTCTCATGATAGTGAATAAATCTCATGAGATCTGACGGTTTTATAAAGGAGTTACCCTGTATAAGACAAGCTTTCGTATTTTGACTGCTGCCATCTATGTAAGACATGACTTTGTTCCTCCTTGCCTTCCACCATGATTGTGAGGCCTCCCCAGCCATGTGGAACTGTAAGTCAATTAAATCTTTTTTCCTTACTAAATTACCCAGTCTTGGGTATGTCTTCATCAGCAGCATGAAAATGGACTAATAGAGTTACAATGTATAATGTAAAAGTCAGGATGTTCCTTGAAGTGAAAGTTTCACAATTCTTGTGTTTTATTTTTATTTTTATTTATAACCTAAGAATACTCCCAATGGAAGCGAATCTGTGAAATACACAGTAAAATAGTTGAGAAGTATGTGCTTATACACAAGATATGCTTAACATATAAACTTTTAATTATTTATTTAAGGTACACTGTATTTGTGTACTCACTCTCACATCCTTCTCCCTAAATTCACGATCTCACAGCCACTTAGATCTAAACATTTTATCTGATATCACGTTAAGAAAAATTTCAAACAAAAAATGTGAAAGTTTTACAGTGAACACCAATCCCCTATATCCACTATCCATATTCTACAACTAACATTTTACTGTTTTTGGTTCATCACATATCCAACTCTCTATCCATACATCAATCCACCAATTTTTTTGATACATTTCAAAATAACTTGCAGATATCAATACACATCAGCATACGGGGTAAGGTGTGATATTCACAATTTTTATCTAAGTATTTTTTTTATATATATACCTTGAATCCTCCTTTAATATATGCCAGAAAATGGATGTGGGAAAAACTGTATCATTATGGGAAATAATCTGCTTTGATGAATAGTGACAACATTTAAAAAGTACATTTTTTCTTCTGCAACTCATTCCTTTATAAAAATGTATACACTTTTACCACCAGTTTTGATGTTGCTTTGCATTTATTTTACCTGGGTTCCCCACTGCTTAAAAAAAGGTTTAATTATACTTACAATCAGTGGTCAGAATTTTAACTAGCTGTATTCTTTACCTTCAAAATACAGTTATCAGTGACTTTTAAGATGCTTTAACTACCAAAGTATAAATTGAATTATTGTTGATGTATTCACTATAAATTATTTAAAAAAACAATTAACTAAAAAAACCTGTCAGCACAAAACGGCAATGAAAATCCTATTCATCCACTTACCACTACATGACTTTGAATCACAAAGGCTATTAGAGGGGGAAACAGAGATCCTAACATTACAGGATGTCCTATGTTTAATTTCTTTTGTTAAACATTCAACTACCATCAATTTTTCTACTCTTGTTCTTACTGTTTTTTAAACCTTAAGACCAAGTTCTCATTAGGGTGACTAACAGTGGGATTTACAACACATTAAAAAAATACTAAAAATTCAAAAAGCTCTCAAATTTGAAACACTGAAGAATATTTTATTATGACAAGGTTCTTGAAATATTTTAAAAAAGTGATTATTTCTGTTGGTGACTTCTAATGATAAATCAATTAAAATAAAACATTATGGAGCAATTTAAAATGCCTACTATCCCTAGACTTGATCATGAGTGGTCACAAAAAAACACATTTTTAAAAAATGGAAACTAGATGGGGGATTTTCTGGTTAGGGGTCAGTTAACTTTTTCTGGAAAGGGCCAGACAGTAAATATTTAAGGCTTGTGGGACACGAAGTCTCTGTCACTACTCAAATCTGCAGCATAAAAACAATTACAAACAAAAGTTTATTTACAAAAATGGGTAGCAGACTGTGTTTGGCCCCTGGGCCCTACTGTACTATCCCTTGATCTAGTACAGATATTTTTAGACATGAGAAAAACAGACCCAGAAGGAGTATCTTTTCAAAGGTTATTACAAGAAATAGAGCTGGAAAGGAATATAAATCTTATCAGTGGCAAACAAATTTTAGGAGGTGGCATTAAAGAATCTGGTTGTTGAATGTGGCTGGAAAGTAAACAATTTCAGTAGTTGTAAAAAATCTTGATGATATTAGGCATGAAGGAGTAGATCTGGAAGAAAAAAATAATATTTGAGACCAAACATTCAGGATGAACCAGGAGGAGCTCTCCACCAAGTGGTGGACATTAGATATACTACTCAGAAGAAACTTTGAAGCTAGAAGAACTGTTTTGGTAGTAATTGGGGTATAAGTGCTAGGTGGTTGTGACAGTATATAACAGGCAAACCAGAGAACAGTGCTAAAGATGGGCATACAAATATACAGAAAAAGATAAATTTAACCAGAAGGCTAAGATAGAAGTACAAGGAGTTAGACAAGGTCCCAAAGACAGTGATATCATGGGGGCCAAAGAAGATGAACACTTAAAAGGACAAAGAGGTATCTTATTACACAATGAACCCAGGCAAAAAATAAAGCCCAAAAGGTGTTCACTGCAGGTGGCTATTCAGATTTCCTTTTGCTGAGGTCATGAGGAGAGCAAACTGATCATAATCACCTGATACGAGTTTAGCGGAATTAAGTTTTCCTTTCAAAAAGTATTGCTAGTGAGAAAGAGAACAAAGAACAAATATTTGTTAAGCATATAGCAGATAAGAGCAGTGTGCTAGATATATCAATTTTCTTTGGTCATCTGAATTTTACAGATATATTACCCTATTTTACACTTGAAAAACCTAAGGCTGACAGAGGTCTCAAGGTCACAATTTGTCAGTGGTAGACAGAGATATAAACATGTGTCACTGACTCCCTAAAATGATCTATCCAATGTTAAGGATAGAAAACAAGAAAGAGTTTTTACAAAGTAACTTTTTAAAAAGTCACTTTCTTTTTTTTTTGAGACGGGGTTTCGCTCTTGTTGCCCAGGCTGGAGTGCAGTGGCTGCGATCTCGGCTCACTGCAACCTCTGCCTTCCAGTTTCAAGTGATTCTCCTGCCTCAGCCTCCTGAGTAGCTGGGATTACAGGTGCCCATCACCACATCTAGCTAACTTTTTTTTTTTGTATTTTCAGTAGAGATAGAGTTTCACCACGTTGGCCAGGCTGGTCTGGAACTCCTGACCTCGTGATCCGCCCATATCAGCCTCCCAAAGTGCTGGGATTACAGCTGTAAGCCACCATCCCTGGCCAAAAAAAGTTACTTTCTTAAACTACACTGATTGTACTATAAAAAAGAAACCTGAGCCGGGCACGGTGGCTCAAGCCTGTAATCCCAGCACTTTGGGAGGCCGAGGCGGGTGGATCACGAGGTCAAGAGATCGAGACCATCTAGGTCAACATGGTGAAACCCCGTCTCTACTAAAATACAAAAAATTAGCTGGGCATGGTGGTGCGTGCCTGTAATCCCAGCTACTCAGGAGGCTGAGGCAGGAGAATTGCCTGAACCCAGGAGGCGGAGGTTGTGGTGAGCCGAGATCGCACCATTGCACTCCAGCCTGGGTAACAAGAGCAAAACTCCGTCTCAAAAAAAAAAAAAAAAAAAAAAGAAACCTGAATTTTTTTGAGTTGTATAATATATATCAAGGTCTTGTAAGATCACAAGGCTATAAATAAGTTTTGAAAGTTAAACAGACTTTTTGACAACTTAAAAAAAAATCCTTGATTTAATCTACCCGTATCACGGTAATTCAACTTAATAAAAAGAATATCAATGTTATTCTGAATGGGCAAAAATTGGAAGCATTCTCCTTGAGACCTGGAACAAGACAAGAATGCCCACTCTCACCACTCCTATTCAACACAGTACCAGAAGTGCTAGCCAGAGCAATCAGGCAAGAGAAAGAAATAAATGGCATCCAAATAGAAAAAGAAGTAGTAAAACTATCTTTCTGTGCAGATGATATGATTCTATACTTACAAAGCCCTAAAGACAAAGGATTCTGGAACTGTTAAATGACTTTAGTAAAGTTTCAGGATACTAAATCAACATATGATTTTTTTTTTTTTGCATGTTCCTTTAATTTGTCACAAACATTAAGATAATACAGCAGATACTGGAGAAACAAAGCTTTTTAATAATTTCTTGATGTAAAGGTTCACACTTAAAAATTATGTTTGCTTCCCCTCACCCCAACTCAACATGCAGCTATCATTTATATTCATATATGCTGATTCTAGAGCACTGTAATCTCTTGATGGTTTTATAAGAGTATCTTTGCCCTTGTAACAATTTCACAAACTGTATACAATCATGGTATAATATCATCATTCAAATGAATCCCCAAGGTAAGTACATTTACACAACATTAACACTAAAAATCTGTGTTTTTTAAAAACACCACAGAAGTCAAACCACAAAAAACCCAGGATTTTGTTTTAAATGTGTTTATGAAGACTGCTGCTGAGCTCAAAGCATGCAGGTATTCATGACCACCTAGATGAAGCTGGATATTGAAACTTCTTCAGTAGGTCCAATGATGTAATTTTTCACTCATCCCAAATATCTCTATATTTGTTTACTTTGACTTCTTTTTTTGGCACTCTTTCATGCATAGGCCTGACTGAGGGGTCAGTTTTTTGTGTTAAAGATACTTCATATGTCTCTCTGTTCTTATTCCTTAATTCCTCATATGTAAATTTTTTTCTTTTAGGACTTTCTTCAAGGTTGGGATCAGGTCCTTGGACAATATGATCAGTAATACCAGTGGGAGCAGATTCATTCACAGAAGAACTGAATGGAATTGGCTCATAATGAGGAAGCATTTCTATGTTGTCTGCTGCTGGGGATGTCCCAAAAGATGAGTGACCACTCACATTTGAGTCATATTTTAATTTCTGATAATAGTGCCCAGGTGGTGAAGATCGTCGTCGTGCTTGTGCCAATTGTAAAGCTTCTCCAAGGGGGGAATTTTCAAGGTTCCTGAATTTCTCTTGGCAAGTTTTCACATAAGAAAGTTTTCCAGCAAAGTATCCCATGATACGAGCAAATATAAGTTTAGGGATTGAACCATATTTGGGATGACTTGAAAGTATTCCTTCACTAATTAATACTTGAGTGATCAACCTACTTGTTGCAGCCAAAGGCACAGATCTGAACCAGAAGCTTTCATCACTGCATTCTGCGAAGAGTCTCCATTCTTCCTCTGTTGGAATGTAATCAGGCCCTATGTGGGTAATTGGTCTTGGAACTTCTGCATTACCTGAGGCTGAGGCGTGCGGATCATGAGGTCAAGAGTTCGAGACCAGCCTATCCAACACGGTGAAACCCCGTCTCTACTAAAAATACAAAAAATCAGCCAGGCATGGTAGCGGACATCTGTAATCCCAGCTACTCAGGAGGCTGAGGCAGGAGAATCATTTGAACCCGGGATGTAGGGGTTGCAGTGAGCTGAGATGTGCCACTGCACTCCAGCCTGAGTGGTAAGAGCAAAATTCCATCTCAAAAAACAAAACAAACAAAAAGCAAAGTAAGTAGCATTTCTATACACCAGTAATGTTCAAGCTGAGAGCCAAATCAAGAACACAATCCTATTTACAATAGCAACAAAAAAAAAATAAAATAAACTACCGAGGAATACATCTAACCAAGGAGGTGAAAGATCTCTACACGGAGAACTACAAAACACTGCTAAGAGAAATCATAGATGACACAAATGTAAAAGCATTCCATGCTCATGGATTGGAAGAATCAATATCCTTAAAACGGCCATAGTGCCCCAAACAATCTACAGATTCAATGCTATTCCCATCAAACTACCAATGTCATTTTCCAAAAAACTAGAAAAAACTCTTCTAAAATTCATATGGAACCAAAAAAGAGCCCATATAATAAAAGCAATCCTAAGCAAAAAGGAGAAAGCCAGAGGCATCACATTACCTAACTTCTAGCTATACTATAAGGCTACATTAACCAAAATAGCATCATATTGGTATGAAAACAGATTCATGGACCAATGGAACAGAACAGAGAACCCAGAAATAAAGCCACACACTTAAAGCCATCTGATCTTTGTCAGAGTTGACAAAAATAAGCAATGCGGAAAGTATTCCCTATTCAGTAAATAGTGCTGGGATTGCTGGCTAATCACATGTAAAGAATGAAACTGGACCCCTATCTTTCACCATATACAAAAAGTGACTCAAGACAGACTAAAAATTTAAATGTAAGACCTCAAACTATAAAAATCCTTCAAGAAAACCTGTGAAACACTATTCTGGACATTGGCCTTGAGAAAGAATCTATGACTAAGTCCTCAAAAGCAACTGAAATAAAAACAAAAATTGGTGAAACCTAATTAAAGAGCTTCTGCATAGCAAAACAAGCTATCAACAGAATAAACAGAAAACTTACAGAATGAGAGAAAACAGTCACAAACTATGCATCTGACAAAGTTCTACTACCCAGAATCTATAAGAAACTTAAATCAACAAGCAAAACACAAAAACAAATAACGCATTTAAAAAAAAAATGGGCAGAAGACATGAACAGACACTTCTCTAAAGACAGAGAAGTGGCCAACAGATGAAAAAATGCTTCATATCGCTAATCATCAGAGAAATGTAATTCAAAACCACAATGACATACCAGCTCACATCAGTCACAAGGGCTACTAAAAAGTAAAAAAAACAAGAGAGAGAGAGAGATCCAAGATGGCCAACTAAGAGTAGCTCAGGATTGCAGCTCCCAGTGAAAGTGCAGAGAGTGGACGCCGCATTTCCAGACGGATTTTTATTGCCCACAGACCAGGAGATTCTCAGGCAGAGGAGCCCCACAGGTCGCCAGTCTGTTTTGGCTGGCGCGGCTGTTTTGCCAACGCCCAGGCACAGCGGTTCTCAATGCAAAATACAAGGGACTGGGTGCCCTTTTAGCTGGTGAATGGAGCTCCGGGAAGGCAGAGTCACCCATTCAGTTGATTTAAAACGGGGACTGCGACAGTGAGCCAGGCCAGGAGATTCCCAGGCAGGAAAGCGCTATGAATCTCAGTGCCACTGTTTCAGCTGGCGCAGTGGGTCACCGCACGGGAAATCACACAGCAGCTCTGAATGAACAACAGAGCTCACAGCTCAGCACTTGAGCTCCTATAAAGGACAGACTGTCTCCTTAAGGAGCTTCCTGACCCCCGTATACCCGAAGAGTCACCTCACAAAGGAGAGCTCAGACTGACATTCGGTGGATATCCTTCTGGAACAAAGATAGCAGAAGAAGAAACTGGTAGCAACCCTTACTGTTCTGCAGCTGCTGCAGGTGATCTCCAGGCAAGCAGGGCCTGGAGTGGACCTCAGTAGTCCTACAGCATGGGGGCCAGACTGTTAGAAGAAAAACTAAGAAATGGAAATAACTTCATCATCAACAAACTGGACATCCATGCAGAGACCCAATCTGAAAGTCAGCAACTACAAAGATGACAGATGGATAAATCCACAAAGAAGGGAAGAAACCAGTGCAAAAAGGCCAAAAACACCCCAAACCAGAATGCCTCTCCTCCTACCAGGGATCACAACTCCTCATCAGCAAGGGAACAAGGCCTGATGGAGAATGAGTTATAACTGATAGAATCAGACTTCAGAAGGTGGCTAAGAAGAAAATTCTGTGAGCTAAAAGAACATGTTCTAACCCAATGCAAAGAAACTAAGAACCTCGAAAAAAGATTTGATGAAATGCTAATGAGAATAGACAACTTAGAGAGGAGTATCAATGAACTGATGGAGCTAAAAAACACAATACGAGAACTTCGCGAAGCATGCACAAGTTTTAACAGTCGAATTGACCAAGCAGAAGAAAGGATATCAGAGGTCGAAGATCAACTCAATGAAATAAAACAAGAAGGCAAGATTAGAGAAAAAAGGGTAAAAAGGAATGAACAGTCTCCAAGAAATGTGGGACCATGTGAAAAGACCTAATCTATGTTTGGTAGGTGTACCTTAACGTGACGAAGAGAATGAATCTAAGCTGGAGAATACCCTTCAGGAAATTATCCAAGAAAACTTCCCCAACCTAGCAACACAGGCCAATATTCAAGTCCAGGAAATACAGAGAACACCACAAATATTCCTCAAGAAGAGCAACCGCAAGGCACATAATCGTCAGATTCACCAGGGTTGAAAGCAAGGAGAAAATGCTAAGGGCAGCCAGAGAGAAAGATTGGGTTACCCACAAAGGGAAGCCCATCAGACTCACAGCAGATCTCTCAGCAGAAATCCTACAAGCCAGAAGAGTCGGGGGCCAATATTCAACATCCTTAAAGAAAAGAACTTTCAACCCAGAATTTCATATCCAGCCACACTAAGCTTCATAAGTGAAGGAAAAATAAAATCCTTTGTGAACAAGCAAGTACTCAGAGATTTCATCACCACCAGGCCTGCTTTACAAGAGCTCCTGAAAGAAGCGCTATACATAGAAAGGAACAACCAGTACCAGCCACTCTAAAAACATACTAAATGGTAAACAGCATCAACATAATGAAGAATCTGCATCAACTAATGGGCAAAACAGCCAACTAGCTTTAAATGGCAGTATCAAATTCATACACATCAATATTAACCCTAAATGTGATTGGACTATATGCCCCAGTCAAAAGACAGAGACTGGGAAATTGGTTGTGGCCCCATTCTTAAAAGGCTTCCAGCTTAGTTGGGGAGATAGCAAATATGGTCAGGTAATTTTTAAATCAAAACTAGAGAAATTTGTAACTGTAAAATGGAATGAGAAAATTGGACTTTGAATGCTTTAGGACTAAATGTTATAGTATTATAAAATTTCTCAATTCCTACTGAAGATTAGCCATGAATTCTGATGTGAAAGAACTCATGACTTTAGCTAAGGCATCCTATTGTCTAGCTGAAGTTCCTTCAATAAAGGAAATGTTTGATAATCTGTGCCATCCAATAAGATAGCCACTAACTACGTGTGGCCTTTGAGCCTCTGAAACGTGAGTAGTGCAACTGAGAAATTAAATGTTTAATTTACATTAAATTAAAATAATCACACACACACAAAGATACTGAGCATCATAGCTCATTAGGGAAGTGCAAAATAAAATCAGATTAAGATACTAGTATACACCTTTTAGAATTGCTAAAATAAAACAACTGATAATACAACATGCTGGTGAATATGTGAAACAACTAAAGCAAAACTCATATGTTTCTGGTGGAAATACAAAACAAGATAGTCACTTTAGAAAACAGTTTTCAAAAAAAAGAAAATGAAATTTTTATTTTAGATTAGCCTGGCACAGAGGTACACGCCTGTAGTCTCAGATACTTGGTAGGGTAGCCTGAGGTGGAAGGGTGGCTTGAGGTGAGGAGTCTGAGGTTGCACTGAGCTACGATCACATCACTGCATTTCACCCTGGGCAAGAGCGAGACTCTCATCGTCTCTCCCTCTTTCTCTCTCTTTTATTCTTCTCTTTTCTTTCTTTCTTAAAAAAAAAAAATAGATGCTGGTGAGGCTACAGAGAAAAGAGAACACTGGCTATTGGTGAGAATATAAATTAGTTCGGCCACTGTAGAAAGCAGTTCGGAAATTTCTCAAAGAACTTAGAACTACTGCTAGACCCAGCAATGCCATTACTGGGTATATATCCAAAAGAAAAACTGTTCTATCAGAAAAGATATATGCACTGCATGTTCATCACAGCATTCTTCACAATAGCAAAGATATGGAAATCAACCTAGATGCCCATCAACAGTGGATTAGATAAAGAAAATGTGGTACATATATACCATAGAATACCATGCAGCCATTAAAAAAATTATGTTCTTTGCAGCCAACAAGGATACTGCTGGAGGCCATTATCCTAAGCAAATTACTGTAAGAATAGAAAACCAAATACCACATGTTCTCACTTATAAGTGAACAGCGGGTACTCATGGGCATAAAGATGGCAATAATACAAACTGAGGACAACTAGAGAGGGAAAGAAGCCTGCAAAACTAAATATTGGGTACTATGCTCAGTACCTGGGTGACAAGATCATTCATAACTCAAACCTCAGCATCACACAATGTACCTAGGTAACAAACTTGCACACATGTACCCCAGAATCTAAAATAAAAGTTGGAAATTTTTTTTCTTTTTTGAGATGGAGTTTTGCTCACTACCCATGGTGCGATCTCGGCTCACTGCAACCTCCGCCTCCTGGGTTCAGGCAATTCTCCTGCCTCAGCACCCTGAGTAGCTGGGATTACAGGCACGCACCACCATGCCCAGCTAATTTTTTTGTATTTTTAGTAGAGACGGAGTTTCACCATGTTGACCAGGATGGTCTCGATCTCTCAACCTCGTCGTGATCCACCCACCTCGGCCTCCCAAAGTGCTGGGATTACAGGCATGAGCCACAGCGCCCAGCCCGGAAAAAAATATTTTCAACTGTTAATAACAGAGGTCTTCAGCAACAGAAGAATACTATGAAGAAACAGTCACCTAACTGGCTAAATAAGATAAAATTGAATACAAAAAAATCTAAAACTTACTTTAAGATGCTTTGTAAAATATATTAGTAGAACGCCATCCAGAGGCTTGCATTGTATTATTGTTTTGTAAAAGACTATTATAGATTTTTATGTCTAGCCGTAATGAAATAACAAACATTGAAACTGCCCTCCAGGTGTAAACAACTAAAAAACTGGCTGACAAATAAAATTCAACATTTCTAAAGAAGTAGGAAAATCTAAGAAGAGAAAAAAACAAAAGTCAGTCAACAGACACAGATCTGAAAGTGACAGAGATGACAGAATTAACATATGAGGACTTAAAAAATACAGTATGTGAAATGAAAACACGGAGAGGATTAACAGTTTATTAGACAAAGGGAAGAAACTGAATCGCTGAATTAAAGACTCAAAAAACACATACACATGTGACTTGAGTCTGATGGTGAGAAGTAGGGCAGATGCAGAAAAACCATTTGAAGAAACATTACTGAAACTTTCCCAAGTTTGATAAAAAACCATGCATTATCCCACAAATACAAAAAGTTCAATGAACCCTAACCAGGATAAATACAAAGAATACTACATAAACTCATAATCAACTGATAAAAGCCACTCATAAAGTGAAAATCTTCAAGAATGCCAGAAACACATTATAGACAGGGTATAGACAGGGTATCAACAGCTGACTTCTTATCAGAAACAATGAGAGCCAGAAGAAAATAGAGGCCTCTCTAAAGATTAAAGAAAAATAAACCCTGCAAACCAAGGGAAACCAGTTCTGTGTCAAGTGAAAATATCCTTCAAAATACATTTCTAGGCAAACAAAAGCTAACAGTTTGTCACCAGCAGATCATCATTACAAAAAAGTAGTTTAGGATTAAAAAAAAGACTTCCAAATGGGCGCTCTGACCTACACAAAGAAATAAAGAGCACCAAAAATGCCAAATATGTGGTTAACTGTATGACATTTCCTCCTCATTAAAAAATTCCTCTTGAGGAAATTGCTTAAAGCAAAGTAACAAGAAATATTGTAACATGTAGAATTAAAAAGTAGGAAAAGTATAGCACAAAGAGCAGGAAGGGAAATGGAAAAAATGTCATATGGTCCTTATTTGCTACGCAACCTGGTACATTACTACGTAGAAACAGATTTTTTTTTTTTTTTTGAGATGGGAGTCAGATGGAGTCTCACTCTTTCCCCAGGCTGGAGTGCAGTGGCATGATCTCAGCTCCTGACTTTAAGCAATTCTCATGCCTCCGCCTCCTGAGTAGCTGAGATTACAGGTGTGCACCACCATACCTGGCTAATTTTTTTTTTTTTTTTTTGGTATTCTTAGAGACAGGGTTTCACCATGTTGGTCAGGCTGGTCTCAAACTCCTGGCCTCGTGATCCGCCCACCTCAGCCTCTCAAAGTTCTGGGATTACAGGCATGACCCACCACGCCTGGCTCTGACTGTAATACACTGATACATATTTTAAATCCTAGAACAAACTCTAAAAATGACACAAGGAAGTATAGCTTAAAAGCCAACAGGGAAAATGAAAACCACTGATTTAATACATAGGTGGCAGTAAAAGGGGAAAAACAGAGCAAAGAAAAGATGGGATGAAAAGAAAACAAATACCAAGGTGCAAAGCTTAAACTCAACCACAGTGATAATTACACTGAATGTAAATACTCTAAGTACTTCAGTTAGAAAGGCAGAAATTGTCAAACTCAATTAAAAAACACCTAACTGGGGAATGCTGGGAAGACTGCCGCCCTAAGAACAGCTCAGGACTTCAGCTCCCAGTGAAGGTGCAGAGGGTGAGTGGACGCCGCATTTCCAGACGAACTCTTATTGCCCACAGACCAGAAGATACCCAGGCAGAGGGGTCGCCAGCGTCACAGTTCCAGCCGGTGCGGCTGTTTTGGCCCCCACGGGGCTGATTCCGCCCGCGGCTGCTGTGACCACTCCCTGTTGCTGCGGTTCTCCGTACAAAAGCCACTGGTCTGGGAGCCCTCTTAGCTGGCGAGCACAGCCCTGAGACGGCAGAGTTGCCCATTCATCTGAAATAGCGAGCCAGGCCAGGAGATTCCTAGGCAAAAAATCCGCCAGGAGCCGGCGCCGCAATTCGAGCCGACTCCGTGAGTCGCAGCACGGGAGATCCCGGCGCCATTTCAACAAGCGACCAGAACGCGGGGTCGTTCAACTTAAAAGAAAAGACTCTGAGTCAGGGAGCCAGGTGATCAGGCTCGGTTGGTCCCACCCCTCCACCCCCAACAACAACGAAAACAAAAACAGTAATTGGAAACCCTCTGGGTTGAGTCCTTCAGACCAAGCACAGCTGAACCAGGACGGTCCGGCTCGGTGGGGGAGGGGCTTCCGCCATTACTGAGACTCTCCACCGCTAAGGAGGCAGGCTGCCGTTGCCGAGGCAACCCGCCGTTGCCGAGGCAACCTGTCACAACAGAGAGAGTCCGCCATAACAGAGGCAGGGCCACCGTTGCCCAGACAGTTCTGTTGCCCAGACAGTTCTAACTATGCCCATGTAGAAAGGACTACAGGGAAGAGCTCAGGGCAGCTGGGCGGAGCCCACAGCAGCTCAGCAAAGCCCCTGCGGGCAGGCAGTGGCTAGGCATGCTGCTAGCTGGGCGGGTCAGACCTGAAAGAAAAATCAAAAAAGGCAGTAGTGCAACGGAAACTCATAAAGCTCCAACTGCCTGGGACAGAGACAGACAACAGGTGGATAAACCCACAAAAATGGGAAGAAACCAGCGCAAAAAGGATGAAAACTCCCGAAACCAGAACACCTCTCCTCCTAAAAGGGATCACAACTCCTCACCAGCGAGGGAACCAGACCGGATGGAGAAGGAGGGTGATGAAATGACAGAATTAGACTTCAGAAGGTGGGTAGTAAGAAACTACAGTGAGCTAAAAGAACATGTTCTAACTGAACGCAAAGAATATAGGAACCTTGAAAAAAGATTGGACGAAATGCTGACGAGAATGGACAGCATAGAGAGGAGTATAAGTGAATTGATGGAGCTGAAAAACGCAACACGAGAACTTCGTGAAGCATGCACAAGCTTCAACAGCCGAATTGACCAAGCAGAAGGATATCAGAGGTCGAAGATCAACTCAATGAAATAAAAAGAGAAGGCAAGAACAGAGAAAAAAGCGCAAAAAGGAATGAACAAAATCTTCAAGAAATGTGGGACTATGTGAAAAGACCTAATCTACGTCTGATAGGTGTACCTGAATGTGATGAAGAGAATGAATCCAAGCTGGAAAATACTCTTCAGGATATTATCCAGGAAAACTTCCCCAACCTAGCAAGGCAGACCAATATTCAAATACAGGAAATACAGAGAACACCACAAAGATATTCCTCAAGAAGAGCAACCCCAAGGCACATAATTGTCAGATTCACCAGGGTTGAAATGAAAGAGAAAATGCTAAGGGCAGCCAGAGAGAAAGGTCGGGTTACCCACAAAGGGAAGCCCATTAGACTCACAGCAGATCTCTCAGCAGAAACACTACAAGCCAGAAGAGATTGGGGGCCAATATTCAACATCCTTAAAGAAAAGAACTTTCAACCCAGAATCTCCTATCCAGCCAAACTAAGCTTCATAAGTGAAGGAAAAATAAAATCCTTTGTGAACAAGCAAGAACTCAGAGATTTCATCACCACCAAACCTGCTCTACAAGAACTCCTGAAAGAGGCTCTACACATATAAAGGAACAACCAGTACCAGCCACTCCAAAAACACACCAAATGGTAAAAGAACATCAACACAATCAAGAATCTGCATCAACTAACCAACAAAACAGCCAGGTAGCATCAAAATGACAGTATCAAATTCACACATAACAATACCATCCCTAAATGTCAATGGACTAAATGCCCCAATCAAAAGACACAGACTGGCAAATTGGATAAAAAGCCAAAACCCATCAGTGTGCTGTATCCAGGAAACCCATCTTACATGCAAGGATACACAAAGGCTCAAAATAAAGGGATGGAGGAAGATCTACCAAGCAAATGGAGAGCAGAAAAAGGCAGGAGTTGCAATTCTCATCTCTGATAAAATAGACTTTAAAGCAACAAAGATCAAAAGAGACAAAGAAGGACACTACATAATGGTAAAAGGATCACTGCAACAAGAAGAGCTAACGATCCTAAATATATATGCACCCAATACAGGAGCACCCAGATACATAAGGCAAGTTCTTAATGACTTACAAAGAGACTTAGACTCCCACACAATAATAGTGGGAGACTTTAACACCCCATTGTCAAAATTAGACAGATCAACCAGACAGAAAATCAACAAGGATATCCAGGACCTGAATACAGACCTGGAACAAGCAAACCTAATAGACATTTACAGAACTCTCCACCCCAAATCCACAGAATATACATTCTCTCAGCACCACATCACACCTACTCTAAAATTGACCACATAATTGGCAATAAATCACTCCTCAGCAAATACAAAAGAACAGAAATCATAACAAACAGTCTCTCAGACCACAGTGCAATCGAGTGAGAACTGAGAATGCAGAAACTAACTCAGAACCGCACAGCTTCATGGAAACTGAACAACTTGCTCTTGAATGCTGACTGGATAAACAATGAAATGAAGGCAGAAATAAAGATGTTCTTCGAAACCAATGAGAACGAAGACACAACATACCAGAATCTCTGGGACACATTTAAAGCAGTCTCTAGAGGAAAACATATAGCAATGAGTGCCCACATGAGAAGAAAGGAGAGATCTAAAATTGACACCCTATCATCAAAATTGAAAGAGCTAGAGGAGCAAGATCAAAAAAACTCAAAACCTAGCAGAAGACAGGAAATAACTAAGATCAGAGCAGAACTGAAGGAAATAGAGACACAAAAAACTCTTCAAAAAAAAATCAATAAATCCAGGAGCTGGTTTTTTGAAAAGATCAACAAAATAGACAGACCACTAGCCAGATTAATAAAAAAGAAGAGAGAATAACCAAATTGATGCAATAAAAAACGATAAAGGGGATATCACCACAGATTCCACAGAAATCCAAACCATCATCAGAGATTATTACAAACAACTCTATGCACATAAACTAGTAAACCTGGAAGAAATGGATAAATTCCTGGACACCTGCAACCTCCCAAGCCTAAACCTGGAAGAAGCCGAAACCCTGAATAGACCAATAACATGGTCTGAAGTCGAGGCAGCAATAAAGAGCCTACCACCCAAAAAAAGCCCAGGTCCAGATGGGTTCACAGCTGAATTCTACCAGACATACAAGGAGGAGCTGATACCATTCCTTCTGAAACTATTCCAGACAATCCAAAAAGAGGGAATCCTAAGCAAAAAGAACAAAGCGGGAGGCATCACACTACCGGACTTCAAACTATACTACAAGGCTACAGTAATCAAAACAGCATGGTACTGGTACCAAAACAGAGATATAGACCAATGGAACAGAACAGAGGCCTCACAGGAAATACAACATACCCACAACCATCTGATCTTCGACAAACCTGACAAAAACAAGCAATGGGGAAAGGATTCCCTGTTTAATAAATGGTGCTGGGAAAACTGGCTAGCCATGTGCAGAAAGAAGAAACAGGACCCCTTCCTGACACCTTACACCAAAATTAACTCCAGATGGATTAAAGACTTAAACATCAGACCTAATACCATAAAAACCTTAGAAGAAAATCTAGGCAAAACCATTCAGGACATAGGTGTAGGCAAGGACTTCATGACCAAAACGCCAAAAGCAATGGCAACAAAAGCCAAAATAGACAAATGGGACCTAATCAAACTCCACAGCTTCTGCACGGCAAAAGAAACAGTCAGTAGAATGAATCGGCAACCAACAGAATGGGAAAAAATTTTTGCAGTCTACCCATCTGACAAGGGGCTGATATCCAGAATTTACAAAGAACTAAAGCAGATCTACAAGAAAAAAACAAACAAGCCCATTCAAAAATGGGCGAAGGATATGAATAGATACTTTACAAAAGAAGACATACAGGAGGCCAACAAACATATGAAAAAATGCTCATCATCACTGGTCATCAGAGAAATGCAAATCAAAACCACATTGAGATACCATCTCACACCAGTTAGAATGGCGATCATTAAAAAATCTGGAAACAACAGATGCTGGAGAGGATGTGGAGAAATAGGAACACTTTTACACTGTTGGTGGGAATGTAAATTAATTCAACCATTGTGGAAGACAGTGTGGCGATTCCTCAAGGACCTAAAAATAGAAATCCCATTTGACCCAGCAATCCCATTACTGGGTATATATCCAAAGGATTATAAATCATTCTACCACAAGGACACGTGCACATGAATGTTCATTGCAGCACTGTTTACAATAGCAAAGACCTGGAACCAACCCAAATGCCCAACGATGATAGACTGGATAGGAAAAATGTGGTACATATACACCATGGAATATTATGCAGCCATCAAAAACGATGAGTTCACGTCCTTTGTAGGGACATGGATGAACCTGGAAACCATCATTCTCAGCAAACTGACACAAGAGCAGAAAATCAAACACCGTATATTCTCGCTCATAGGCGGGTGTTGAACAATGAGAACACATGGACACAGGGAGGGGAGCACTACACACTGGGGTCCGTTGGGGGGAAATGGGGGAGGGGCAGGGGGGTGGGGAGGTGGGAAGAGATAGCATGGGGAGAAATGACAGATACAGGTGAGGGGACGGAAGGCAGCAAACCACACTGCCATGTGTGTACCTATGCAACAATCTTGCATGTTCATCACATGTACCCCAAAACCTAAAATGCAATTAAAAAAAAAAAAAAAAAACAGAAAAAAAAAACACCTAACTATATAGTGTCTGTAAGAAATGCACTTTAAATGAAAAAATACATAGATAAAAAGTGAAAGAATGCAAAAAGTTATACCATGCAAATACTGTAAGAAAGAGTACCTATATTAATATGAGAAAATGAAGAATTCAGGATAAGAAAATTAAAAAAAAAATAAAGAGGGGCCTTTCCCAATGATAAAGTCATTTTAA